GGGAAACTACCACCCAAGACAAAAGTAGAGAAAAGGTACAAGAAAATAGCACTGCTGCTCCCTGCCTGCTAACCATTTACTCACTCTCATTCTGTTTTTCTTTTGCTACTGAACTTGTGTCAAAACTATAATTTCAAGTCCCTGTAGTATTCTATCTTCAGTGCATGGTAGTTTAAACACAGCTCGACTTTCTACTGGAATAAATGATTAATAACGGCAAAAAATAATAGCTTTCGGAAGCAGATGGAACATGCAGCTTCAACAAAATATTGACTCGCAGAATTTTTCTTGTACTATTTCAGAGTATATTTATGGTTCACGACAGATAATTCTATCAGTGCCTTTTGACTTCTCTATTTTTTTTGAAATTTTCTTCAAGTAGCAATAGTGCTCTGAGTAAATTTCTCTAAAATGCCTCTTTTCAGCTTTTCACTGTGCTGTAAATGCAGTTTGTGTGTGTGGCTTTAAACTGTGTGTGTTGTCTGTGTGGGATCGTTTACTGGAACAGAGTAAGGCACAAATTGATTTAGTTTTTAGTTGGGATTTAATTAGATTTGTCTCAACGGTACAAATTGTGATTTGACCAGTTTTCATGTTTAATTCTTAAAAATCTTAGTAAGAAATACATTACAGGTAAACAAGCTTCTGTTTTAATATATTAAAAGCCCTGAAAACCTGTTTTCTCGATCGGCATCTTAACACGAGTGATGCGGTATTACATTAAGAGCAGTTGAGCATTTTGGCAAAGACGCTGATTCAGTTTCTTGCTGAGAGCTTGTGAAGACGATTGATAACATTCTCATTAACTTGTTTATTGTGGTGGAAGACGTCTTTTAAAATATTAATAGTCCACTCCAAATGTAGTTCATTACAAAGTCCTGCATTCACAGTTTTACTTAAGTATTACTAATGAAGGTAAAGTATGTTGAGTAAAAACTATAGTACAGTGTTTCCATCTGAAATATAGTAAAGTAGCAGAAAAGTAAAATACTAAAGTTTGATTCTGTACAAAAACTGAAGAGTTGGGCTGTTTCCAGTCTTCATGCTAAGATAAGTTAACTGAGTTATGTCAGTCATCCAATCTAACTCTTGGCAAGAAAGTGATTAACTCCAGAAATGGCAAACTTTATTCAACAAACGAATTTCTGACGAGAACAGTTTTGGTTATTTCTCATGAAGTGATTTCTGTCCATCTGGTCTTAAGGGGACATGATTGAGAAGGGAAAAGGTGAACTTGCATATGGATTTAACATTTGATTCAGGTAGTTTGACAGTACTAAAACCCAATCAGATCAAGCCACAGTTCTAAGCTTTGAGTGTTACACTCTAAATAAGACCTAAAGAATAATTAAAATAAGGTTTGGGGCACTTTTAACTTTGATTGTGGCTTAGTCAATCATATATATTTAATGGTATTAAGAAATGCTATTATTTGAATCTAGGTTTTCAGGCGCTTTAAAAAGTGAAAAAGTGATCCTAGTGGTGAAAGTTACATAGTTTTAAAATCTAAAATGCATGAGGAAGAAACAGTTTTAACAAATGAAATTTATTTTGAACACAAATTCATACTTGCATTAATTATGGAGGAAGATTAGGACCACTGAAAAAATGTTTGTTCTGACTTTATTCTCAGAATTCTGACTTTAAAGCTGACTTGTCAAAATTCTGAGATTAGTAGTAATTATGAAAAGGTGATTATGGGCCACTGTATAAAAAAAAAAAAAAAAAAAAAAAAAAAAAAAAAAAAAGGAAAAAGTCCTAACTTTAAAATCAGAATTGTGATATCAATTTCAGAATTCTGTCTTTAAAACTCCAAATTGTCTTGTTTAAATGTAATATTTAAAGTCAGAGTTCTTAGATTATTAGTAATTATGAAAGACAATTAGGGGCCATTAAAAAGTTTGAGTTCTGATTTTAATTTTAGAATTCAGGAAAAAAAAAATCAGAACTCTGACTTTAAAGATGATTTATAAAACTGTTGGAATTCTGGGATTAGTAGTAAATATGGAACAGGATTACAGACCACTGTAAAAAATGTGACTTCTGATTTTAATCTCAGAATTCTGTCTTTAGAATTGGACTTTTTGTAAAAGCCATCTTTACAATTAGTAGGTGTTACAGAAGAGGATCGGGGGCAACTTTAAAAAATTAGTTCTGATTTAAATTTTTAGAATAAAAAAAATCAGATTAGTAATTATCAACTTTAATTACAGTTCTGATTTTAATATCAGAATTTTGACTTTAAACTTTAAATTTGAAAATCATGTTAAAGTCAGAATTCTGAGATTAGTAGTAATTAGGAAACAGGATTCGGGGCCACTGCAAAAAAGTTCTGATATTAATTTCAAAATTCTGACTTTTTAAAAAGGCTGAATTCTCAGATTATTAGTAAAAAGAGAGGATTATGGGCCACTGTAAAAAAAGAAAATAATAAATTAAGTTTTGACTTTAAAAGCAGAACTCCAGGTTTTTTTAAAATTTATTTTTCAGTGGCCCTAATACTCTATTAATTACTTAATGTCGAGACTTGATATTAATCGTTACCAACTGGTGTTTTTACAGTAGGTTAAACATGGGTGGAATGAAATGTAGCCTCATGGAGACACAATCTTCATTTATTTCTACACTATGCATGTTTAGCTGTAGCTCTTGTGTCTTAAGCTGTAGCGTTTTGTTATGATGTCTTGTGTATGTGTGTGAGTGTGTGTTTTGCTGGAGAGTGTTGTGTCTATGTTTCAGCAATGGTACACTGCCACCATGAACCTGCTGGGGACTTGGCTGACTGAACGCATGGATCAGCAGCTCCACGTGTACCAGCTCAAGATCCTCATCAGGATTACAAAAGTAAGACAGAAAACATCTGGCAGACTGATAAAACACCCAGAAGCCACTGGGTTGACGCTGTGCTGATGTCTCTTGGTCCTCCTTTAGAAAAAGTATCGGGACTTCCGCCTGCAGGGTGTCCTGGACTCCACCCTGAACAGCAAGATGTACGAAACGGTGCGCAACAGGCTGACCGTGGAAGAGGCCACTGCCTCAGTGAGGGAAGGAGGCATGCAGGGCATCTCCATGAAGGACAGCGATGAGGAAGATGAAGACGACGACTAGGGCTCGTGCAGACACTCCGGCCCGTACCCCCAAATCCCCTTTCACAGTTTTGACTTAAGCCTGGTTACCATGCATGTACCAACTCAGATAGCCACTCTAGGACCTCTTTGTCAGCTCGAAATGCCTATGAAGGAACTATTAACTATAAAATAGAAGATATACTGAGGAAAATTTAAATAATGTTAAAAAAATAACCATGATTGGCAGTTTAGCTGTGTCATGATAAAGATAGCACCTACCTTTGTTTCATTCATTTCTAAATTCATTTCTGTGTTACTAAGCAATATGGAAAACCATTTGTTTGACGATGTTGAGTGAGATAAATAGGTGTGTCCCTGTCCAATGCAAACCTATATGGCGCTTCTTTGTCGTAATCTACATTCATTAATGGTACATTGTCGTGATGATGAGTGTGTGGACCCTTTTCTTTGTCTCGTCTGTTTTTAAGTGAATGCCAACTGCTTCAAACTGAAAATAAACCTTTGTTTACGGCTGTTACAGATAAACTGTTGTCTACTCACTGTTATGGCGTTAACAGTAAGTCTGTACCCGCATTTTTATCATATGTCGATACTATGTGGTCTCATCTCAATTCCTAATTAGACAATGAGTGGGTATTCTAGAGATGCAATATTCTCATAGCTCCATTTTGATAACTTGGGAGATTCTATTTTTATTTCAACATTAAAAAGACCTTGAAACAGGTTCTATTTTAATTGAGTTGCACTTTTACAGAGAAAAGAGCAAAAAAATTTTTTTATTAAAAAAAAAAGTTGGTCTGTCTTTGTTCTGTAACTGTGTAGAATGAGATGTCTGGCATTTGTTTGGGTCTTGTTTTGTATATATGATATAAATATATATATAAATATAAAATGCTGTACATTGCATTCTGAGCCATCGCTGCATGCCTGTGGGTTCCCACTCTCCCCAAACGCTTTGTTTTCTGTGTGAAGTAGCTGGTCGATTCATTTTTGCTTTTGCCTTATGAAAGCTAACAGTTGTAATATGCAAGAGCTGTGGCCTCGAAATAAAAATTATTGTACATGTGCATCCTCTGGTACGTTTACTAGCTGCGTGTCCACCTGAGATTTATAAACACACTGAACTGTACATAAACTCTTTGTACACATCTTTATTCAGTGTGATTTACAAATCCCAGACGATATGTCCAGAAACACAATTAAAGGTAATCTAAAATAACGCTTTCCAAAACCCCAAACATTGCCTGAGAATCATCCTTTTTTAAGTCATTTTCCTTTTTAAAGGAAGGATGCATTATTGTGCACATCACTTTTACTGCCTTATATTCTCATAATTTGAATTACTGTACAAACCGCTGGGTAGTTTGCGTGGAATAATTATCAGATTCTAAAAGGTAATGAGTTAAACGCAGTTGAGCAAATATCTGCCTCAGAAATGTAGTGAAGAATGGCATAGACAAAAGTGGAAATACTCAAATACAAACACTAAAAATCGTACTTATTGTAGGCTACTTTAGGACAGGACTTGAGTACATGTAGCCACATTTTACATACGATGACTAAGATCAGTTTATAAATTAAGACCGATGGATTAAGTTACCATGAGTTTAATTAAAATGAGTGTCACTATGACAAGCTACAACATAATGTTGCTTACATGTCAGTGCCACTGTAATAATATGACATTCTGCATTATACTGCCACTTTTACTAATGATACTTTGAAGTGCATTTCGTTGCTGATATGTATACACAGAACTGTAACACCTAGAGTTTTTCTTTTACTGTAAGGTACTGCTACTTTAAGTATACTTCCTCCAGCACTGCTGTTTGCTGCCAGCAGGGGGCGACAGGATGCACAAGTTGGCTTCAGTCAAAACCGTTTCATTAGTGGTTTCATGCAATACAATGATGGCGCACCCAAACACAGACTTTATTCAATGTATGGCAATACAATTTACCTATTAAATAACACTATTACACTATAATATGGTATATAACAGCATCATAGGAATATGATACCATCATATAAACATATGATGGACAAAACCTGTTGATCATTTATTTTAAGTTACAAAACAGACTTAACTACCACCCTGGCTGAAATACACTGAGGCTAACATACTGGATCCCTGGACCAAAACGTGGTCTACATACCAGCATGGAGGGTGGGGGTGGGGTGCAGGTATGATTGCGATGGTGTGGATTTAGAACCGGACAGTTTGTGTAGTGGTCTTGTACATATTGCAACAGGGCCACTACACAAATCATGTTTGTATGAAAATATAAACTTCTGTGATCACAAAGGTTACAATTAAAGTCATTTGTTTCTGAAGTAAATGTGTGCAGCAGCAGCAGCAGCAGCACTAGTTTTACATGAGCATAAATATCAAACAGGACGCTGGCATTCATAGGTTTAAAAAAAACAAAAACAAACAGCGGTTGCAAAGGAACGTTTTGTTGCCAAGCTAAATGATCAGCAACCTGGACTTTTCTCCAAATGTTGGAGAGTTTTCACTAGACTTTGCAAACTCCCCTGTGGCAGAGAAGTGGGGTAAGTGGGGTTATCCATTTTTAACAGAATAAACACTATAAAGATACACAAGAACCAAATCAACAGAGAAGGATGCACTGGGTTGAAAAGGGCTTATAATTAATATCCACAAAATATTGCGGAGGCAGAATATTACCCTAAATAAAACACATTTTACAGTCCGATATTTGATCGTATTGTCAAATGTGAGGAACGTGTCATGTAGTCCGATTTTCTACTGTAAGGTGAGTTCCTGAGGCTAGAACAGAAACATGCTTAACTCGGGTTAAATTCATACATTTGACAGTGGAAATCTTCACTGCAAGGTTTAACAATTTAGATTTTAAATTCTAGTTGATTAAATAGATCTCAGGACAAGTATCACTTACATGTTGCAAACTGGAACCACATCTTTGGTTATGTATAAAGCATCAACTCCCCAAAAAGAAAATACTGCCTATAAAAAGAAGTCGCCCTATTTGGACTTGTCATATTTTATTATGTAGCAATTTTGAATCACAGTGTCTGAAATTAGGACTTTTTTGCCAGTGATCAAAAGACTTGTCAAAGTTAAAACTAATTTCTCTAGACATAAACTAAGCACATCCTTTTACTTTTAGATCAAATCGTCACCTGTGACACTAACTCTTTTACAAGGTGGCTAGTGGAGACCTGTGTAATGACGGTGTGACAAGTGGATTCACTGTAGGTTAAATATACCAACATCTAAGTGTTACTTAATCAGTTCCCTGGCAAAAACTACATTATGAAGACAAATGAGTATTCCAACAAATAGGTGGCAAGTTTTCTGATTAGTACCAATCAGGAAGAGAAGTTGGGGACATTTCCAAGGCACCTGGTATGGCTTTGCATTGATGTTTGACTAGATGCAGCTTTATGGAAATGCAGCAGAAACAGCAACCAAAGTCTTCACATAAGAAACAAACCATGCCCACCTTGTTAAGCTAAAGAGTAAAATGCAAAGAAATCCTGGAGGATCCACTGCTGCAATCTGTGAAACAACTGCAAGAAGCTGTGCTCCTTCAGGACAAATATAATTTCTAGCTTCTAGTTAAATATTGTCTTTAAGTGGGTAAAACTTGTGCAATCATCTTGGCTTTTATATTTGTACTTAATTTATAGACATTTGTTTTCTTCTATTAATCGGCTTGAGCATAACTCCTAATTACATCCACTGTGATTCAGAACAAAACATGAAAAGCTGTGTAAGGTCAATTCTTTCTGTAGGCACTGCACTTTGTCAATACAGATACCTGTTACGTGTTCCAACAGCTGAGCTGCCAGCTGCAGTTAGACAAGTTGAAGTTAGAGAAGCTGGGGAAAAAAAATACAGGAAACTAAAACACATGGAGCTGTGTAGGCAATTCTTGACCTACAAATCTCCAAAAATATGACTCTACATCTACACCAAGGCCAGTGGACAAACGCGCAAACTTATTAAAAAAAATACATAGGCTGGCTATTAAGATACATATATATAGATATATAACAAAACTATATAATATAAATCCCTGTAAAAAGCAATAAATGTTCACATTAGATGTTGCAACACACTTTAACAAAATAAGCCATAAGTACATTATACAAGACAGCAATGAGATATTTGGACATTATATGAGTATTAGGCAGGTAAAAGTCTCTTCACGTGTGATAAAAAGCTTCACGCATGTGGAGCGGAGCCTCAAAACAGTTTGGTCGAGGTGACAGTGACATAATGCTTGCTGGGTTATGCTGTGATGCTTAGTTTTGAGACACTTATTTGAAGAAGATCGCTTTAATTCATCCTGGCCTTCATGCCTCGGGTTGGTTTCACTGCGGTCCAAAGATCCCAGTTTTGTCAGACAGCCAGGATTTAACTCGCTGGATTTAGGCAGTAACACTGATAGTATAGTGCAAACTGGACAGAGCTGCTTTTTCCTCATGTCAACTTAAACTGGTGCAAACGCTCAGCAGGGTAACATTTAAGACAAAAAATAAAGGACAAAAACATAAATATCAAAAACGTTTTATCAGTATAAAAAGTAATAAGGTTATTCATTTAATCAATAGTCTGGCAAAAAAGGCCTCAGAAAGGTTCGTGGAATTTTACAAAGTAAGTGCCTGTAACAAGGTCCTCAGACGAGCGACTCCATGCTCTCTGCAGGGTCCGACTCGTCTGCAATCACCACCGCCCCGTTAGTGTCCGTGTGCATGGGGCTCAGGGCACACTCTCTGTTACTGACCAGGCTGAGCATGGCTTTGTAAAGGTACTGGTACTGCTCCTGTGCACACAAACACACAACTAGTTAACACCTGAAGATGACACACTTTAAACCTACAGTAGGAAAGATTATGAAATTCATGCATTTCCCAATATTTCTCATATTTACACTGAATCTAAAGTAAAAGGGGTCGTCTTGTAATACAAAGCACAAAACAGGAAGCAGCCAACTCTCTGTGGGGATTTTGGCTTATTATTTTGGTTTTATGGCAGCACGTTTACTGTATGGATCCACCAGTGGATACCAATATTGATAATGTGGTTATGCGGCTTGTTCTTTTTCCTTTTTGTCTGCCTCTTGGTGCCTAAAATGATTTGCTGCCGCTTTAAATGTTTCTCACTTGACGTATAAAGCAGTGTTAACATTATTCACCGGTCAGCATTTTTAGTTTTGGTCATATAAAATTATTGATCAGTGCTTCCTCGATTACTGCTGATTGTTAGAATGTTGATCCCAAATCCCTGCTATTTGTCATTTACATAAACTTACTATATCAGTGAAGACTCCCGGCCTCATGACATTGATCATCTTAGCCACCTGATAGATGTCGACGACGCCCTCGTTCTCCAGCTGCTGGGACAGCGTTGTGAGGGCACAGAACATCCCTGCTGACACCGCGCCATACCTGATAGGGAAAATCAGCTCAGGTCAACAAATGTCTGACCCTGTTAATGTTTGATCAAACCACATTTACACCACACGTGAACCGAGTTTGAAAGCACCTCCTTCATTCTGCACTAATTGCAGACCAGTTAGTTTGTACTCTGCAGATACTGTACAGCAAAATCATAAATACGAGACTGAACAGTAAACTGAAGATTACAACATAAAATATAAGCAGCTCTCTCTATACAGATGTTGATGTGATTAAATAAAAAGCGCCCAGTATAAATGAGTAGAGTGAGAGTGGCTCCAACTTGAGATGGTGCCTTAATCGACAGAAGTTTGATTGATTGTCATGACCTTCCATGATGAAATCTATTCATCGAGCTGATGTTTTCACTGTAGCGGCTGAGGTGTGGTAGGCACAGATGGCTGTAGGAAACGCATCAGCTGGGAACAACTGTGGAAGCTGTTACGGTTGCCTGGTTACTAAGAGACTTTAGAGTGCTGTTTTGTTTATGCAGGTAGTCGCCCGTAGATTCTCAGGGATACACGGAAGCACTTTGGAAAGCCAGTCCGTGGAAAGCACTCAACATTTAGTGGCTTGTTTTACACCCTAGCAGTACAAACGCTCCAATTCAGCGAGGACAAATCAAAAGCAGTATTCTTTTACATTTACTATCCAGATGCAGCCTTTGGTCTTTGTGAAGCACATTTAAAATATCCCGGACTAATTTATGACTGGATCTCAGGAGAATAAGACAAAAAACCCCTTGTTGTGCATTTTCCTTGCAAGTAGTCTGTGTTGACAGAAGGCAACATAGAATTAAAGGCAAACATACTCATCGTGCACGATGGTGGGGCCATCTCGAGTCATGGCCTCCTCCTTGATAACATTGATGAGCTCAAAGGTGCTGCTGAGGGGAGTGTCAGGGTTGGGCCATTTAGGGCACTGAAAATGTCGCACCTCCAGAACATAGTCGTCCTGTCACAGACAGGAGAAGTGTACACGGCATGATGTTAATAATGTGATGCTTATTTGGGAGTGTACACATCACAGTAATCAAACACCAAGAACGGTCAAGAACTGCTGACTTATGATGCTTTGAGTTAGAATAACCAAGCACTAAGGGGGATATTTACTAAGGCTTTGTGGCTGATTTACTGGCACCAAACAGTGAAACTGCATGTTCATATTTACTAATTGGAGCTGCAATACTGCTGTGCGGTAGAGAAAAGAAAGAAAAGCAGGCAGTGCAGGCACCGGGTCTTTTTAATCGGCCGTGTATTCAAATTAACACAGTTGTGGCTGTGCTCATTTACAACTTCAGTGTTGGTAAATATGCCGCTCAACTGAAAAATTGCAGCGCCACAGCATTTTGCACACCTGATTGTAATTTGTGACAGATTTAGTACATATCCCCCTCAGTGTGGTACATGTGACGAGGCAGGGGAGCAGGAACCTGTGTGGCCTCTAAGATGAAGTCGTGGATGATGATCTGCTCCTCGTTGGAGAGGCACAGTCTGTCCTTACTGATGAGTGTGACAGTGAAGGCGATGCAGTTCATGGCCTCTTCTCGACTCGGCCAGTAAACAAATTCATCCTCAGCCTGCACAGAAACAAAGACATGGGGGTGAATGTGTAGGTTTGTTAGACACCAGAGAAGAAGAACACATTAAACAGAGAGACAGGATTTTAGAAAAGAACGTGTGTTTCGCTGTTACTTACCAGCCCCTGGTTGTCAGGCAACATGACAATAATTTGAGCATTATGGTCCCAAATCATCCTCCAAAAATCTGTGGTGGTGTGGGGCAAAGGATGCTGGGTAATGATGAACTCATTACTCCTGTAGTAGCCCTGTGGTGACAGAGGTGAGCCGTTTTGAAAGCTCCTAGCAATCACTGTGAGACCTGGCAGACAACTGATCATTTCCCAAGAAATTATCATAAAAAAAAACTGTCAAACCTGTCAATAAACGTATTCAAAAAAAAACACAGTGACCACGGATCAAGAATCCAGACTCAATTTATCACACCGTACCATTATGTAGGATGCATTAATGTAATCTGTTCCTTTCATTCCAGGCAGAGTGGTGAGTCCGACCCTCGCTCTCTCCGCTGTAAAGAGGCAGAGAGAGATGGGGGAAAAACACTTTAAATCACAACCCAGGCCTCCATAATATTACACTGGCTGATAATACACACACTCATTACAGGTCCTCACTGTTACTATGGCAACAAGTACCTCCTTTTCCCCTGTCGGGGTGCCAGGAACACATACAAAGATTAACTTATAGGATTATGGAAACCATTTCTAATTTTGGAATATAGATAGTCTTTACAAATTTTCAGTTAGTAAATTATTAAAATGTAGAATAAAAAACGTCCTGATTCTAATTCACATTTTCTTTAATAAAAAAGTAATCAAAATGTTTTTAATGCAATTTTAGCTTCTAAAATATAACATTATTACTGAGACAGGCGCCCTATTATTTTCTATGTCACCTGTTCCTATAAACACCCCACTTACGGCCCTAAATGCAAACTGAGGCAGGTAACCCTAACCCTATACATGACCTTTCTTCTCAGCTACAAGTGTGGTCAAGTCGACAGGATACTCACATGGAACCACTGAGGAATTCCGGTTCTTCTCCTTGTTGCAGTCTTTGTGGGCGCTGAAACACTCCACAAAGCGCGTGTTACACTGTGACAGCAGCTGGTGAGAGAGAAGGAAAAAACCACCAGACAATCAGACTGCTGAAAGTCTGATAAATCAAACATGAAAAATAAGATACTGTTATTTAAAACCCATGATTCACAGCAAGTCTTTCATATTAATAATGAGTGTGTGAAGCTCAGGAGGAAGTGGGAGTAATTAGTTTGTCTCTCCTGATGTTGAAAGAGCAGGAGCCTGATGAAACATCCATCGAGCTTTGCATAAGGCGGCAGGGGTGACAGACACGGCTTTATTAAAGCCAGCTTCGGAGAGAGTCTATTCCCGTCTGGAACTGGGAAGCCACACGTTTCTAACAAGCTTCTGATCCACAGACAGCCCGGATCTCAGCTGGCGTCGCCACTGCAGACTGTGACGCCTGGTCGAACTGGACCAGTTAGAACAGAAGGTTTACTCACCCTGAACTGCTTCTCCAGGCGCGTGCGGCCTGTCGAGTTGGGCGTGAGGATGCTGTTGACGTAGCTGTGCAGCTGCCAGGAAGGCACCTCCGTCTCTCTGCTCAGGATGGCCTCCATCAGAGCATCGTGGATGAAAACATACTGCTCCTGTGAGCAAACCGAGGGTGTAGAAAGCCAAAGTGTTCACAATTACAGTAATAGAAGTAAAAGAAAATAATCATATGAACAAATATGATGCAGACATTACAACCATGAAACTGTGCAATAATCAATACATGCTCAGCTTATTACTATAACATTTTATTTCATCCAGGTTTGATCATTTTTATTTAATTTCAGCAGTTATGTGATTGGTTTGTAATTTATTGATATGGAAGCCACAGCCAGTCACAGAAATACTGTAGTGTAGAAATACTCTTAGTAATGTAGTCCAGTACAACGCCGCCTTTAACACCGACCTCAGTAGTAAGCACAACTTCACCAAAAACAAACATGTTGGGCTTCATAAACACAGATGTTAAGGCACAAGTGTTATACAGGTGTACCTAATAAAGTGGCCGGTGAGCATATGTTTAAGCTGTACTGGAACATTTCAGCCGTACAGGCGGGTGCTAGACAGATTTGTAGAAAGTTATTACACATTGTTTTGTTGATACAAGTACAGAGGGAAAACCTAAAAAGAGCCCAAAATACACAACATCACACTTCCATAAAGTGTCTATGGACAGGCCTGGGCATTTACAAGAATATAAGACACGGAGGACACAGAAATAATCTCAGTCCTCCATCGGTTGTAAAACCAAATCTATACAGTGGAACTGTAGCCTGAGGACAGCAAGTGTGGACTAACTTTGGTGTTACAGTCATCAGTATTGTGTTTGTACGGTGTGTTGCCATGAAACAGCACCAAGCGTGACCTTTACTTGAGCTGAGAGTATGAAACTGAATCACTCTCATAACTTCCTATCCCTCTTCAATCTCAGATGACCTTTTTATAAGACAAGGGATCCAGACAGTCCATACAGACAGGTGACAAATTAAAGGAAAAAATAATAAATGAGTGGTCTCTTCCAGGACGACAGTGCCCCCATCAATAGGACAAGTCACTGAACGGTTTGATGAATAGGAAAATGATGTGGATCAGATACCATGGCCTTCACAGTCACCAGATCTCAACCCAGTTGAACATCTATGGGAGATTTTGGACGGACGTGTAGTGTCTCCAACACCACCATCATCATCATCATCAAAACACCACATGAGGGACTATGGTGTAAATGGTGTTCATCCCTCCAGTAGAGTTCAGAGACTTATAGAATCAATGGCAAGGTGCACTGGAGCTGTTCTGGTGACACGTGGTGGCACTTTATTGGTTCTTCCTTTAATTTTTCACTTATCTAAGTGATAATTCAGGGCTTCTTACCTCAGTCTGGACTAGGTAGTTGCGTTGTGTGCGGATATGTTTGAGAAAATCCAGGACGCTGACTGTGCTTTTGTCCTTAATCTGTTGCAGCATGCTGTCAATGACAATGTATGTGCCTGTGCGCCCAACCCCTGCACTGAAGAGCAGAGCACAAAGCGCTATGAGCACAGTGGCAGGCCCATAGAGGGAGCTGTTAACCAAGTCAGCAAATCTAAGCATCTCATACACATAAGTAACACTCGTTTAGCCCGGGAGCTCGGTAATAATGAGCTGTACCTGCAGTGCACCAGGACGGGGCCCATGTCTGCAGTGCGAGCCGCTGATGAGCGGTTGATGAAGGTGAGCACAGGAAGGGTGTACTCTGGTACTCCCATGTCAGGCCACTGAGTATAATGATACTGGACTACAATGCGCTCATTTAGCTTCACTTTTGGATTCCCCTTCTGACCCTAAAGCATAAGAGCAGATGAGACCCTGGTGAGAACACATTTACTGTACACAGAGCCCAAGCATCAGCCACGTAACTACTTTGTGGAGATCGACATCACTAAATTAAACTGGGTTGCGCCTCGCAGCTTTGTGATTAGCTGTTCAATCGCCATGTACAGTTGGTAAAAGAAACAATACGATCAATATACAAAATAACACAACATATCTGCACCTTAAAAACAAAACATTATAGTACCATTACTGAGGTTGGCATAATTGGATATTTCTCAGAGTACACAAAAATAAATAAATCAAAGTCACATCTACAAAAGGTCGTGTGTTGAAGAGCGGGCCGAGCGTTTAAAAAGAAAAACCTCATTCAAACAAAACCAATCCCAGTGACAAAAAACAGCACGTGCCTGACTTTTTGTTACCTTTTTAACTTTAGTGTTCCTTATAAGGAAATGGCGCAGTGTGTAGCAGGCGTGCACTTTGGTGCTTTTCAACGTCACCACGATGTTTCCATACTGCTCGCTGTTCTCTGTAGGCCAGTACTGGTCACATTTCCTCTAAAGGACACAACAGACACAATGAATGACATTTTATCGGGTGTGAAACGCACACATTGCAGTCGTCTCTGCTTGATGTCGTCAGCTTGTGAAGTCAACTTACTCTGCCTTTTTCCACCAGGTTTGTAATCATGACGATGATTCCGGTGTTCTGCTCCCACACCATCCTCCAAAAGTCCTCAAATGTAGACTTGAGAGGACCCTGAGCAGCTATATAAGCTCGGGGCCGGTTGTATCCCTGAAACAAGAGACCGCTGCAGTATTGTTTACTGGTAAGATGTGATCGATATTGTATCCATTACCCACAATCCCTGATAGAGCTTATATGACTGGTTTACTGACAGATCAGTAGGTAATGAAATCCTCTCCTTCTGGCAGAAATTGTAAATATTTATACATTTGCCAATATTTTTGAAATAGATGCTGCATTTTTAAGGCGCTGTCTGTTGATTTTATAATTTTAATTCCTCAACTGATATTTTAAACAAGCAGTTGGCCAGCACAGCATTTAGCACCAATTACTTTCGCAAAACACTGGTTTCACTCAAGGCATCACCAAGCAGGAGAATTTCACAACATTTCAAACACACACAAAAAGGAAACCAAAGGAGGATATTTGCAAAACACTAAAACTGTGAATAATTTTGACAAGTTGAGAGGTTTGTAAAACTCACGTCCACATAGTTGGCATTGATGTAGTCCGAATGTTTGGCATCCTTCCCTGCCAGTGCTCGTAATTTCACCCTGCTGTGGTCATCTGAGGGAGGCATAGACATATTGGTTTGATTTATTAAAAAGGATGAAAACATTATTGGATTCGACAGCAGCAGACATCACAATCGGATTTTAAAGCAGACTCACAGGCCACAATGTTGATGTATCGGTTTTTGTGCTTATTGTCAGGATGATTGGAATGTTCCGCTGTGATTTTCAGGTCCGCTGTCGAGCGCTGGACCTCCTGCAGAGAGATGGAGAGAAAGAGATAGATTTCATTAAACAAAGAGAGAAAGTATTGGAATTACCCCCTACTTTCTAGGCAAGTTCAATTTAATCTGTTAGTGTTTCATTGAATCAACATGTTTTTAAATCGCATAACACGTTAAACTTCTCAGATTTTTTCTCCTAATACTATTGGTCTTAAGAAAAAAAAAAACCTTTCCAAACTTTCCCCCTGAATAAGGAGCTCAGAACTCCGGATGAACTGTGAAGCCGAACCTCTGACAGGGGCTCAGCGTTATCAGTCGAGGATGCTTCAGTAGAACAGATGTGTACTGCCACTGGGGCTTGAGATCAAACCTGCAGTAGTACAGGCACCTACTTTTTCTTCCTTACACCATACTGTAGCCACCCACTCCTAAAATACAATAATCATTTCCAACAACTTCATCGTGGTGCATTTGAAAATTATGCACACCAGCTTCATATTGGATGGCCCTAATTAAAAGGAATCCTCAAGGGGAAAGGCTTTCTCCTCATTCCTCCACCTGGTTACACAGAGTTGTTCAACCAGCAGACAGATCCTTCTTTAATTAACCTCTGTCTATTTTGATCTTTCTCCCTGCCTTTTCTCAAACATCTGTTCAACATTAGCAACCCTGCACACAAATACATGCATTAAAGAATCTCCAACCATTATTCAGACCTAGAGCCATTTTCAATAAACATGTGTACAGAAGACGACAAACTGGGCTTAGTATTCCATCCAAAACACAATGGGCTGTGGCCATGCCAGTGGCACGGAGAGGCTGTATTTAGGGACAGCAGGGCTTTGAACTAAATGCTAACAGCAGCATGCTAACATACGCCCAGTGATAGTGCTACAGTAACATATTGATTCTACGCAGGTATTGTTTCATAGTGTAGCATGTTATCATGCTGACATTTACTAATTAGCACTAAACTTGAGGTATAGATCATGCCAATGTTAAAGGGAGTACCACATTTCATGGCAAACAAATTAATAGTCGACACGTTTCAATTAAAACAATAAATTGAAGCGACATCAAAGACGTACCTCAAACTCATCTGAGAAACCTTGTAGGTTGTTTTTATAGAGTTCCATGATGTGTTTAACAAAGTGCTTGACGGGGATGGCCTCCATGTCGTCTGTAGGAGAAACACGGAAATGCCCATAAGCATGTGTGCGGTTCATATAATCTCAGAACATACAGCATATGTGTGCACCTATAGTACACATAGAGTATGCTGGCCATACAAAAAAGTACTTTTCGTGCAAACAGGCCATAAATGTAAGGTTTGCTGACAGTGAGCCAGTCACTCGAGTCTTTACTAGAGACAAAAGAAAAAAACAACAAAGAAAAGAGAACAGATTGTTTTACACAATATCATCTATCTCTAATGCTAAATATTACTATTTTGAGCATTTATAGGAGGGAGCATCTGTCTCATTTGAGCCAAATCAGCCACAAATCACACATGAGGGATCTTTGATAAGGCTGGTCACCGTCACACAGGGACAACAGTGTAGAGGACCCAGCTGCCTTTGCCGCTGATGCTGGCCAGTGCCTTAACTAATACACCCTCGCAGCTGGGGCCTCTAGGGCTCCTACTTGGCTCAGTGGTTGCAGCATAAAGGTGAATCCTGGTTTGTTAATCTGTTCATATATCAAAATGTCTTTTCCCCTGTATTAGTGTCAAGCGATGTATCAGTCTGAGTGGTTCACGGTGAAATGTGGCTTTAGGAGCTGGAAATGGAACTGAACAAAGGCTGATTAGGCCCATTTTTGACACAAAAGAAAACTACACAGAGCTTTGTTTGCATGTGAGCTTGAATTTTCCTGAGAACCTAAAGAAATATCAAGTTGTCATTTTCCAGTAAATAAAGTTTGCTTATTAATACCTGCAAAGAACATGACCATAATTCAGAATGTGCCATAATATCATTAGAGTTTCTAAAAAAACAAGAAGAAAGAAAAGAAGGAGAAAAAAGACAACTAATAAAAGCCAAATGAATGTGGAGTCAATGCTGGCATCAGCTGTGCTCTTTAACTATGATGCCACAGCCCTGAAATGTCGCTGAGCTTTAAACGACTGTGAAAGTAAAGTCTGTTATCGACTAGCTGCCACTGCACTGCTGCCTGCAACATTAAAGCTAAGTAAAGCTAGTTACACAACTCCTACTGAGCTTCTCCCAGAGTCATTTCACATGCAAATGAACAAAAACTGTGCAAATGCAGATGTCAAAGTAATAGAGAAAACCATTTGAAAACAGTTAATGGGGACTGGTGGCTGTGTGCTAGATCAGCAGGCATTAATCACTTAAAGTAAATCAAGATTCCTTAGTAATTTTTCACTGCTAAGCCATTTAATGTCAAATAATACTATTTGAATAGATTTTTTCCTTCTACAGCATACTGTAAAGAAAAAGTGACTCTTTACATTCTAAACCTGAACTTTAACCATTTCAGCACTTATCCATCACGTTAAGCTATTTTGACTGTTTCACTTTTAGCTAACAATTTTAACTATTATCTACTATTTATCTGTTACTTGTAGCTACATGAGCCACTTATCCATTTCTTGGACTGATTGGTCCAATTCTTTTGCTTGTTTTCCACCTAGTTGTCATACACTCTTACACTAGTGTTTTGATGTTATAGCTGACTTAATATGAGGGTATTTTTTTATTCCAATTGAAATTTCTTAAGCTACTCCACAATCTGTTCACATAAGCCAAAGAAACTGCAGGGTACCCCCTGGGGTACACGAGTACCATACCACATAACACAAACTGGGAATCACTGGTCTAGAAAACAAATTCAGTGAACAGTGAATAAAGTATTTTACATAAAACTATGGATATCAGAACACTACAAGTATGAATATTCTAATGCCATGAAGAAACTCTGACTCACCTGGTATGGGGATGACTGGAATATTCTCATTGGCCACCACCCGTGGAGAGTTGCTTTCCTCCACATAGAAGTGAGCTGTCTGGAAAAATCTCCTACAGGGACACAGAGAGAGCAGAGCATTGGGATGCAGCACAGTGAAACCAAACACAGACGACGACACAGTTAAGTATATTAGGGAGTCGTTATCCCATTGCTCTCAGATCCGCTCTGTCAACATCTGCATCTAAATGTTGAATAGATTGACACGGGAGCAGCAGAAAACTGCTAATGAAGACCCCAGAGTAGTTGGGACACAGCTGACTGCACACAGAGTGAGTAGCTCCTGGAAACACAGTCTGAGCTGACTACAGGGAACAGGTCACACAGCGCAGTGCCAAATTTAGTTCTTTACTCAAACTGAAGACAACTAATCCAAACGCAGACTCCCTCTTCAGGGCAACACACAGCAAGAGAGGTGCTGCTTGATTTTCAGGCTAACAAAGTCAACTTAAAGGTGCATTTTCTGGAGAAAATTCTCATCATTGTTGCCAACAGCAGTAGTGGCTCAGAAAGTTTCAGGTGAGAGTTCTGAAATCCAGCACTACTAGAAAGCCAAAATTCTTTCCAGACTTTACATGGTTCAAGGTCCATCATTCACTGACTGAAAAATCTTGTTGAGGGCTAATAGCTTGAAGGCAGCCGTCATTTTTTTCACAGAACCCAAATTATTTATCTGGGGGTAATCAGGCTTTGTGAAAAGATTAATTTTGGATATTTGGATGCAGTTCTTTAAGGATAAGGCTACATTCTAGATTAAAGATGTCATTTGTCAATTATAAGGACAACAAATATCAAATGATTCTAACATGAAAAGTAAAACAGTACATTAAGAAAGAAAAACCTAATATTTCCTAATTTTTAACAAGCCACTGATGATTTTTAAATGAGCTTTAAGGCCCTCAGGTACGTTGCACATCCTGTCTAGCCTAAACCTCCTCCACACACAATGTATGTATGAATGAATGCATAAAAAAAAAACAACCCACACATTTCATCCTAGTGCCATCATTTCCCAGCTTTAGTCCTACCTGTACTTGATGCAGAGGAGGGAGCAGATGTTAGTCATTCTTTAAGAGAGATTGGGCAAAAACCAAAAAAGCTGCACTGCATGAAAAGATATTGAAAGAGTAAGGGAGAGGGGAAAAAAGGACACGGGAGGGTGGATAACAAATAGTGTGTGTGTTGTGGGGGGAAGCTACCCGTTGGCTTGCGTCACAGCCTCCCATCCCTAATGGCTCCCTGTGGGTGCAGATGTGGTAACCAGTGAACCTCCTCCCTGATTGTCTACCAGAGTCTCAGAAGAACTGTTTGGTTTCAATAAATACTGGAATGAAATGGACTTATCTGAACGGACGGCAGGTGTAAACACTGGACACCAGCAGCACTAAGTTAAACACGGGATGAGATCTGTTCTCAGTTCAACATCTGTGAGTTTTTAACAAACACCCCAAGCCTCAGAGGCTTCCAGATGTGCTCTGTAAACCCAGCAGAATTCCATTGCAGATACTCATCACCTAAAATTACCCAAACAAGCAAAACTGAACAAACTAAAAACAATACAAACAAAGATAGATGTCCACCGATCACATATTTTTAAGCAAACATTTTAAAATCAAATTGATTGTGGCATTAAGTTGTTAACAACCAAACCATCTGCGAGCAGACACATTCGCTTGCGTTAAAAGCTGCACAGCTGCCAAGAGAGACCGTGCAGAGCATGAAGAGTAAAAAAGTGTGCGAATTGGTTGATTTCATCTTCCATCATGGTCTTTTCCTCAGGGGAAGCAGACATTCTTTGAACTGTCGGAGTTTTCACAACAACAGCTGTGATGGCCGTTTCTAATCTCACAGCTGCCACCACTCTTTGACTCAAATACCACAACTCTCAGTAATTCATCGACTGACTAAATCCGCTACATCTTTTCTTTTAGCTGTCTGTTTTTTTCAACACCTCTATGGAGCTGAAAACCAGGCTTTTATTTATATCATGCTTTTATATTATCCGACACCACGAAATTGCCACAGTAAGGTGTTGTTGGCTCATAAACATTGGCTGCAGTGATCTCCCACTTCAAAAAGTACCCTGGTAAAGAATTTATAAAATCCATCTGACATATTTCAAGTGCTAACAGAAAAATCTCAGTTGCTGTAAACAAAATCCTACCTGACAAGGAGCAGAAGCTTTAATGTATTAAATATGCATGGGAACAGCTGAGGAAATGGTCCATGGTGCTATTTGTAAATCATTAGCAATCCCAAATGTGCCAGTGGCTTGGCCTTGTGTAATTACTGGGACTCCACTAGCGTGACTGGAAATTAGCCCAGCAGATAAAGACACAGCTGGGACCCCCTGCTGGCACTGCACGGCCTTCAGGTCTCCAGCCCTTCACCCAGGTGGCTGATGGACAACATGCAGGCAAGAAACTGCTCCAGATTGGTTGAGACTGATGTGCAGACATTAATGCATGTCCTTACAATGGACATATCCAAACTACACAGCACTAAATGTGGAGTAGGCAGACTGGAAAATCCAGACGTGCACTCAGCTGGATGTGGGTGAGCGGCAGCTCGGTTATTCATATCTTGGACAGGAGTATCAGTGAGTCTGTTTCTAAGATGAGGGATTTGTATAATAATGCTTTATGCAAGCTGCAAAATCCCCCCTTTAGAATGAGGTTAGGTAAAGTGAGCCTTTTTCCTCACCTCCAGTAGACCATCACAATCAGCAGCATTATGAGGCAGAGCAGAGTGAGAGTGGAAACCACCACCAAGGGGACAATCCACACCATCCTGCCCATCCCCGGGTGAGGGGTTCGGGTAACTGTAGACAAAGTGGTCCTGTCTGAAACATAATACATGAAAAAACTGTGCTGATTAAACACCAACTAATTTACATGTTTAGTATGAGGAGACTGAATAGGTTGCAAAAATTTAACCCATGACAGATCAGAAGCCTCACTAGTTCAACCAAAGCCTAAGCACAATATTTAGCTTTAGTTTAGAGTAAAACTATAGAGAATAACAAAACATTTATGTATATAAACATAAAACACATTAACCGTTTCATGTGTTCATGACTTGAGACCGATAATGAAAAAACCTCATGGCAAAAAAAGAATCCCAAACCAATCCATCTTTGGTTGGATCCCTTCAGATTCAAATCACCATTGTAGTTACTCTCCTTTGTAAGTGAGCATCACATATGAATACTTGCTGCCTGATTAAAGCTTTCAATCAATGTTCACAATACTCATGCTATTTCTAACATTGTAACAGTGATTATGTAAAAAAAAAAAAAGAAATCTGGCAAAAAAAAAAAATCTTCTGAAGCAAACTCTTTGCAAATATGCTTTAAAGGAATTCCTGGAGGCAGAACCCCTCCAGGCACACAGCTCATTTTTGCCTTCAGGCCTCTGTGTTGCACTGAAACAAAAGCCTGGAGCTTTGTCTTTGACTGAGATGATAACCGGTGTAGTTAAAGTTATTTGTTATGCTAAACTGGGCTCCATAACTGTTAGTAGTGTTTATAGAATTCTGCTTAGGAGAGAAGTCTTGCTTTGTGTGACAGCTGACAACAAGAACAAGGCTTATGGAGAACTGAAAAAAGATTTTTCTTTTTGAAAGGCATATACACTGAAAGAAAATCTGTTTTATGAGTGTGAGAGAAAGAGGTCTGCTCACCGGTGTGGACAGAGAAAGGCCAGAGACTCTTCCCATCATTGCTGATCTTTGGAGACATTGTGGAGCTGTGGGGAATCTGCATCTCTGCGCTGGCGTGATGAGGCTCCTGAGTGGACACTGCATTTACATCTGTGGGGTTCTTGTTCATGTTGACCAAGTGCTGCTCCACAGTGCTTTCAGGCACTGTGGTGCCTCTGACTGTAGGCTTCCCTTCTCCTTTCTCTTTCGCTGTGGATGCGGGGGTGGGGATTAAAGGCTCTTTGGCCACAGTGCTGTCCCCTTGCTTTTTCTCATTATCAGGTGCAGTCTTATTTTTTCTCTTCTTCTCATCCTCTCCCTCCTCCTGCTCTCCCTCTCTCTCCCCCTCCTTTTCCTCCTCGTCCTCACCCTCGCGTGCAGCCTGGTTCTCCTCAGATGGAGTATCTGTCTCTGAACCCTGGGGCACTGCCTGTTCGGTGCTGGATTTTTCAGGTGGGGCGGGTGGACGAGAGGGGTTTTGAGAGGCTTGTGGTGCCTGTGTGGGCCAGACAGAACTGGGCAAAGAAGAGATGACCCCTCCGCCAACGCCCAAGCCTGCCAGCAAGGTGCTCGTCACTACTGATGCCACTGTGGCCTGGCTGCCACTAGAGGAGGGGCCCATGCCTGTTGCCATAGAGACAATAGAGAAGTGGATGCCAGAGGACGTCCAAGTCGAGGAGCCAGAGCTTATTGGAGCCATATCTGCTGAGGAGGCTGGAGAAATTGTGGGCTGAGGGAGACAGGCAGAGAAAAAGTCCTTACCTATCAGTATCACATGAATTCCACTAAAAAAGAAATTTGCACTGCCATCTTCTGGTCAACTCACCATCCCAGTCTTCACAATGCGAGACCCTTCAAATATTCTTGTTGTGTTAGCTGGGGAACAAAAAGAGGAAACATTTAAGAATCAATTTTATGCATTTAATTGTAGAAATTAACTCAAAACACATAACGACTGTGTGGCTGAAGAGTTTTGAGCAGCTACCTCTGAACAGCAGCGTCTGACTGAAGTCACTGCGCAGGTCATGCTGACATACTGCTTGCACTCTGAACAGGTACAGGACGTCAGGGGATACATTAGTGATGACTGCTTTCTGCAAAAGAAAAGATGCACAGACATTTGTAAATAATGTTTAAATTTGCAGAGAACACATTTAAAAGTGTGGATGCATCCACACTAAACCCTAAAATAAAATGGGAAGACACTACTCTCAGCTACGCCTCCATCAACAGTTTATGACCCCCAGGTTCAGCGCAGTTTAGAAGACATTTCATGCCTAATTTAATTGTGTTAGGCAGTTTGCAGATAGATTTACTTATAATAAAAGTGATTGCCTCTGGTGTTGCAGAGCGAGTATTTCTTTAAAATGTTTCAGATACAGGTGTCCCGAGGTGGTCACTGAAAACTGAAATGAAGTAGCCAAAGTATGAAAGACTGACAGAAGTAGAGCGAGTACTGTCACTGCAAATACTGACTGACTGTATTTATGAAGTGAATACACAGAGAACCTCATTTATATTAGAACTTAAAAACAAAGATATTACATGATAAAAAAAAACCACAACTTATATTAATGCATTTTTTTTAAAGCCAATCCTAAATTGTCTAATCATTTTCACCATTTAGAGTTCAAATATAAATTCTAAGAAATGAATTTATTTGATGCCGAAGCTCCTGATGTAAGTTATTCCACAGTGTAGGCGTCCTAATAAAGAATAATCTGTCCTCTTATGTCTCACCCCACAGAGTACAGAAAATGAAAACTAGGCTGTAGAGCTACAGTATGACAGCCAGAAGACCTCACAGTGCAGTGTGGCTGATGGCGAGTTGAAAGGTCAGTAAATATAGCTGAATGATGGTAAAAAAAACAAAAAAATAAACAAGTGAACAGGGACTGAAATGGTGGTGAAAAGGTTTCTATGTTTAATATCACACACAGCTTTAGTGGCAGCAGGAGTTAAATAAGCTACAGCGACCTGAAGGAGAGATGACAAATATTAACTTAGCCTTAGATGAGGACAGACTCAGTTAATTTGGGAGGCAGTTCATAACTGCAGCAGGCCTGATTGCATGTTCATTCCAACATGATTATGCACAGATAGACTCCAATCAAGCAACAGCCTGAGTCAGCAACAGAGTTATGTTCAGAAACCAATGCATTAATTTGTTTCTAGGGCTGTCGCCTAATAGTTGAGCCATTAATGGAGAGACCCGTCAGTCGAATGAGACTCTTCTAGTTGAGCTTTTGTTTTTATTTTATTTATATTTTAGTCAGACAGTGTGCCTTACAATAAAAGGTAGCCCCAGCCTGGCAGTTTGTCCTTTTCTTCTCATTTTGGTGTGCCAAGCAGCAGTTTGCTCAGTGCTTCCCCTTGTGTTCGTGTGTGGGGGGGTAGGGAATACCCACTTTGACAGTGACACGGTACGATGCATGCATTAAGGTCGGATCTATTTAGCTAATTGCAGAACGAGCAACAGGACTAGAAAGCTAACAAAAATGCACGAGGAAAACATTTCAATGAGGAATTATAAATAAGAGGAATCGTTCACAGTGCAAGTGGGCACACAAACACACAGTAACAACACGCGCTGTGCTTAACTGATGAGAGAAGCTTAAATTGTTGGTAAACTAGGCTATAACCATGTCTCAGGAAAAAAAAAACTTGCCCATAAGAGCAATGTTGTTTCATTATTCCGACAAATCCATATGGCAGCCTTACATTATATATCGTCAATTTAAACAGATCCTCAGAAATGTTCCTGTCACTCTTTTGCATTTAAATACAGATTTTAATATGGTCAAAATCATCACTGAAATTCATGCCAGCTGATTTTCTGACAATCTAGGGTGTATATATTTAAAAAAAAGAAAAAGAACAAATAGTCAGTGTCACACTAAAGAGCCAACTGACAAAATCCTTATAAATAAGTAGGGCTGTACGTGACTAAGGATTACAAAGACACAGGTTTACACCTTAGCCTTCAGATCCCACCCCCTCTGTGCAGCTGCTTCAGTCGACCAGTAGAAGTTAGCAGTGCAGCAACAATGCGAGATCCCTCACCAGCTTCCCACCCGTGATGATAACAACTGTGTTTACTGGAACGTGTGGCCAAACGGGAGGTGCTACCACAAGGGAACTGATCCCAGGGCTCTACAGTGGTGGGTGAGTATTTTGCCCCATCATTGTGTATTTCTAAAGAGGCAGTCATGCAGGACTGTCAAGACAGCTGAGGGCCAGTAGGATTTAAGGAGATGCACAGCTGGCTGTTGGACTCCCACAAACAGAAGGATGTTTGACCAGACAGAAGAATATATAGTGCAAAACCGAACAGCTCTGTAGGTGTAAACTCCTGCAGAGGGAGGATATATTTCTTTAGAGACAGTAAATGTCCTGCTAGAGAGAGACAGTAAAAAGTGAAGCGGCAGCTCAATGTTTAAGGCAGACGAGCAGAATTATGTGATCAGTGGTGTCAAGAACTCCAGAGATCTAAAGAACGACACTTGCACAGCTGTCTGCATTTGTTACTAAAATATAGCAGCCTGCATTCAAAGAGCTGCCATAGCCTGAAGACTAGATTTTTTTCAAATTGGTTTTGGTTTTCAAACAGCTAAAATAAAGAGAATTTATGACTTTGTCCATACTGCTTTTGTTTTAATTAGCTTACGTTAAACACCACATGTGACCCTATAACACATTGATCTATTTCAGAGACTAAGTAGCATTTAAAGCAGGGTTTTTGCAGGGTTCACCAATTTAAATTTAAGAGTGCAGTACCACAGAGAATGTAATTTTATACCTGTCATATCAGGCAAAATATGCAAGAATGATCGACAACCAGTAGGGACAATATGGCCCAGAATTATTGATTATATCACAGCACTTCCCAGCAGTAAACAATAGTCCCTAATGTGACCTGGACACACACAAGCAGTATGGATTTAAAAATTATTCATTTAACTTGATCTTCTTCTTCTACTATAGGAAGCTGGTAATGTTTGCTATAGGCTGACTTCACAAACAAGGATTCAACAACCTCCTGCAGGAAAATCAACTATAGGCACAATCATACTTTTATTTTGTGGGCAGTTGAGAGAAAATATTTAGACGTTTTGTAACTTGTACATGCCCTGTTACATGAATGCTAAAAAGATGCATAGATGCTGAAACCCTAGAAAAGGCTTGGGTGCGTTTGTGAACACGTATCAATTAGGCTCATCAGTGCATGAGACAGGCCTGTGCCTCTCTTCTTAGATGGGCGAGTGACAGGGAGTGTCTTGGGCCTCTTATCAACCAACAGCCACACGCAGACTTCATCACAACCTGTCACCTACTACAGACACAGTCACTGATCCAGTCACCCTCTGATCCTGCTTGACACATCTGAGACTCTGGAGACCAATCAGACCTGTTTAAACCACATCCATCTAAAAAAAAATAATAAAATAAAAACTTCCCCTAAACTGCCTTGATCTGGCATGAGCAGCTGATGAGAATACTCACCATGCTCTGGTCCCCAGTCTTGGTGAAGGTCTTCTCATCTGCGATGTCACGTTTCACCCAGCTGTAGGAGACCATGTAACTGGTGATAGGTGGATGGTAGACGGTCAGAGGGCGTTCCCAGCTCACTGTGAGCGCCGTTTGGTTCAGTGGCTGGATCTTCATGCTCACTGGAGGACTGCTGCATGCTGTAAGACCAGAGAGGGCTCAGCATGAAAAGAAAAATGACTGATGAAAAAAATAGAGTCTTTTTATTCACCATCTTAATGCAGCTGGGTAAAATGAATGGCTGTGTTTGCAGTACTGCTTGACAACTTATGTCTGTTGATGTGTGTGAGCAGAAGTGAGGCTGCCTTTTAACAAGACTATTATTACTGTCTGCTGCTGACATGGACTCAAAGCCATTTCCACTTGAGAGCCCTCTGCAAGATAATACAGTAACTCAATAACAAAGACACTCCTGGAGACTTGACTGAGGTCAAGCACAACCTCAGGTGCCAGGATAGATTGCCAGTCTGGACACCTGTGTCTTTTTGTGCCACAGCACTGCTATTCCACCTGGAATCCTTTGCAAACCTTCAGGTGTAGTGACAAACATGGTACAGATAATATTGCAACTTCCTGTCCGCTCTTAATTTGCAAAATCCTGTCTGTGAAACATTAAACAGCATGCAGGCAGAAGATGAAAGAAAACATGTAAGTCAGCCTCAAGGTGGCAGTGTAGGCTGCAGCATGGATACTTACAGAGGAATATGTCAGTATTAATGCAGGACAACCTGGACATGCTTCTCAGGACATTGGGGCAACAGCAATCAAGAACTAGTGTCAACTGAGTATGTGCTCACAGGGTTTCTGGCAAATTGAAATTGTCACCACAGGTTTCTCCATTTGCACAGTGAAATCATGGTGCAAATGATGTACTATGATATGTGAAGGGAGACAAGGTGGAAGGAAATCAGTCAAAGGGACACAGGGGAGGAAAGAAAAATCAATAGCAAGAGAATCTAAAAAAAAAAAAACCTTGAGGTGTTGATGAGGTATGACAGGTGTGAAATGCATCATAACCCGTTGGGTGGTCGCTGTTGGCTTTAGGACAGGTGCTCAACAGACTTTTAACAGCTGAAGACATCATGGTTTTACTGCCTGCATCATTATGGTCATGACAGTCACCATCCTTTCCACTATCAACACCGATGCATTAGTAACACTAAAGGCAACAGCAGTGTAGTGCATTACAATGCAAAATTGTCTTGATTCTTAACAGTATTTGTGGTACAAATGACAAATTTGTTCATTATAACTAGGGCATATTTTCTTACAAGTGTCTATTGGTATGCAAACATTACATCTGTATTAATTAGAAACTTCACTGATATAAGACAATCTATAGTAAAAACTATTTAACATAACAGCAAATTGGCAGAAAAACTAATAAGCTCTCCTCTAAAACCATTCAAATTTTATATGCAAATGCGATTCTGTCACATCTCAGTTTCAACTGAAAACACAAGCTTCAACTGAGACACAGTAGAAGTCAAACAGTCAATAGTACATAACATTTCATCAGTGACAAAATGACAACATGCTGTCTCTGTAGAAAGTGCGCTGTTATTTTTCTCTGAACACACAGTATAACCTCCCAAAATAAGCCTCATAGTGGTTTCACCTCAGTCTGCAATAGCACTCAGAGCAGAGCATGAATAGTTCTCCCAGCAGCTTCTACCATGAAGGGGATGAATTGACTGTTGTCAACAAACAGTAGTTCCACTGCTTCTCGCCTCTCAAGGCCTTACTTTAAAGAATCTGTGTGCTGATATAGGAATGATGGGAAACCTTTCCTGGAAACACACAGGAGAACACATCTGATTTTAACATAAATAATTAGTATTTTCTGCAGGAAAGTCAAGCTATGCATGTCATCTGAGGGCACAATACCAGCACAGTAAATACAGTAGTTGTTGTCTTTCAGTGCCTGATTCTTGCCATAGCTACTATCATTTGTCTAATATTGTTATGCTACCAGTGTTGAAATGATAAATCAATGAGTTGACAGGAGAAAGAAATGGAAAATATACTGACAAGCAACTCAATGACACACACAAAAAAAGCCAAATAGTCTTTGGTTGTAGTTTCTCCAGTATTTAATAATTTAATACATTTTAACTAAAGGGTTACCATTACTGGGAATTACAGAGTAAAGTTAAAGAATAAAAGAGGTGTGGCCAATAATCCTGTTGTAATTTATTGTTATAATAATGAGTATGTGGCCATTGGCAGCATGGTCTTGCTTTTGTCGCTCAATTGAAACAGAGCTGACATTCTGGTGATATAGCCATGTAGTATAGGTAGTTACCTTATTACCAGCCATCTTATACTTTATCATACATATATTATCTGTTTAGTTCAAAGTATGAGCGCACACTACACTTTACAGGCAGTAGAAAGATAACTACAATGATATTTTGAAAATATGTACACATTTCATAGAAATGAGTCACTGGACAGTATTTACATTATTTATCTCATTATGTTGCAACTATCCATATGATTGAAAATACACATTATTTATCTCATTATGTTGCGACTATCCATATGATTCACACATTGGTAAGCAAGAGATAACCAACATCATTTCTAGTGTTTGCTACCATTTCTTGTTGGTAAATAACAAATAGGAAATGACTGATACTGATTATAGGAAGTGCTTGGCTATATCACCAGAATGCAAGCTTTATGCTTATACCGACAGCCCGTCAAAAGCCTAATATCAGAAGTTCTGATATTTCTACTGAAACATCCAGTACCCCCTGTGGTCACATACCTGTTACTATAACAATAAATTACAATAGAATTACTGCACAAACCTCTTTATTCTGTTTAATTTTAGGTTGTATTACCCAGTAATTTCTGGTTATTCATAAACAGCAACTACACTGCTCATTAAGTCATTTTTTCTGGCCATTTCCTAACAGCTTCAAATTGCTAAGTAGTCAACAGTAATTTCTGGTCATTCATAAACAACAGCTAATCATTATGACAGTTCTCTCTGGCTATTTCTTTATATTCCTACATAGTTAACGGCCTGTAAATTAAAGGGTTACCTAGTGTTGCACTGTAAGTCAAACAAAAGAGGTAAGTTGAAGGCACCACCTTGGGTTCTGTGAAACTATGAAAGGAATTTTTCTGTCATTTTATAAACAAACCACTCAGTAAATTGAGAAAATAAGCAGCATAAATGATGATAAAAATAAAAGCACCACCACCATTTACCAAACCAACCAAATTTTAAAATAAATCTGGTCTCTCTGAGGAAAAGGTGTGTATGCACAGGATGACAGAAGCTTGGTTTTACACATGCAGATATAAAGTATTAGAGACAAATGTTTATGCAAATACTTCCCCATGCATCTCGCCATTGGACAAGAAATTAATCCACTCAAAACAAACTTTTCTATAATCTCCTGAATTTTGCATCAAATAGGTTTGTTATACATCTCTAATGGCTGAACAACTCTCGCGGCTATAAAAGCCACAGTGATCCAATGTCAAGCCAGGGTGTGGCCCTGGCTCCCACATCATTTACAAGACAAGCCAATCCATCACAGACAAGAATGACATCGTTTACTCCCAGCTCCTTCTGTCAAGAACGGATTCTTATTTTAACAGAAAAAATTAATACAAGAGACACAAAACCAAAATGAGCAAGAAGTAGAGGAAGTTAGAAAAAAAAAAAAAAAAAAAAAAA